CCCCCCCCCCCCCCCCCCGATCCCCCCTCACACCCTCGCCGCCAGCAGCTGCGCCCAGTTCGGGCACAGCGCCCTCGCCTCCTCCCACTCCGCCCTCAACCTCTCCTCCTCCGCCCCCACCGCCGGGGCCCTCGCCGCCAGCAGCTCCGCCCAGTTCGGGCAGAGCGCCCTCGCCTCCTCCCACTCCGCCACCAGGGCCTTCTCCGCCCTCTCCCTCTCCGCCCTCTCCCTCTCCCTCTCCCTCTCCTCCTCCCCCTTCTCCACCAACACCACCCCGGCGCTCCCTCCCCTCTTCTCCACCACCCACCCCCATCCCCGCATCTCCCCATCCTCCCCGACACCCAGCCCGACCAGCGGCGCCGGCACAACCCCCCTCTTCCTCCGTCCCCTCTCCCCCAACACGACCGCCCTCCCCGGCCACATCCTAAACACCAACCCCCCATCGCGGGGGCCAACCGGCGGCGGCAGGCCCACGGAAACGCCACGGACCGGGACGGGCTGGCGCGGGCGGGGCCGGTGGACGCCGAGGTCGCCTCCGGGCAGGCCGGCCAGGGCCTTTGCGACGCCCAGCGGGCCGCCGCCGCTGCCGCTGCGGCGCGCCACGGCGACGTCGGCGAAGCACGTCTGCAGCGGGCGCAGGTGGTGGTGGAGGGTGGCTTGGGCCACGCAGCGGCGCTTGTTGCCCGCGTCCAGGCCGTTCTTGGCGTTGCGCGTCGCCGCCGGCCGCGGGTTGGGGAAGCGGTCCGCGACGTGCAACTGGCGGCGGCGGGCGGCGGATTGGGCGGCTTGGGCGGCGGTGGTGGCGGCGGGGTTGGCGGCGAGCGCGACGCCCGCGGCGCCCGCGGACGGCGGGAGGAAGATGTCGGCGGCGGCCCGGCCCGGCCAGGTCTTGGTGTTGTTGTTGTTGTTGTTGCTGTCGTCGTCGTCGTCGTCGTCGCCGTTGGAGGAGAAGAAGAGGTCCTCGGCCTTGCGCTTGCGGTTGGGCGGGACTACCCACGCCCCAGTCGGACCGGCCGACTGGCGGTAGTCCCCCCGGCGCTGGCTGGCGGGCGCGGCGCTGCTGCTGCTGGGCGGCGGCGGCGTGATGATGGCGATGGGGGTGGGAGCGGCGGCAGCGGCGGCGGCGGCGGCGGCGGCGAAGGCTGTCGACGATGATGGGCGTGGGCGTGGGCGTGGCGGCGGCCGAGGCGCTGCTGGTCGGACCAGCCGAACCAGCGTTGGCAGCTGTGCTGCTGTTGGTGGACATGATGATGGTGGTGGTGGTGGTGTGTGTGTGTGTGTGTGTGTGTGTATGTGTGTGTGTGTGCGTGCGTGCGTGTGCGTGTGCGTGTGCGTGTGTGTGTGTGTGTGTGTGGGTGGCCGAGGAAAGAGGAGGGGGTCTGGGGGGCAGGCGGCTTTTATGAGTGACGGCAGTGTGAAAGCTGCAACAATAGGCAGCAGAGAGACAATAGGAACAATAGGATGGGGTGGTTGGCATGTCGAAGTGAAGTGAGGTCGAATAGGGTGGGGCCGTGGAAGTGAAGGTAGTAGAGAGACAATAGGAACAATAAGGTGGGATGGTTGGCATGTCGAAGTGAAGTGAGGTACAATAGGAACAATAAGATGGGGTGGTTGGCATGTCGAAGTGAAGTGAGGTCGAACAGGGTGGGGCCGTGAAGTGAACGAGACACAAGCAGGAGGCATTCTTACACCTGCGACCGGCGTCGTAGAAGAAAATTTGGAACCCGTCCCTTATCATTCGGTAATCGTGTGCTCCATAACCATCATAACTCTCGCATAAGAGCATTTCCCGTCAAGCCATGGAGTGAAAAGACAACCCATCTCAAAAAACCCTGCACGCACGTTTAACCCTGATAGAAATGAGGCAAAGGAAGATAAAATGAAACAAAAGGAAATGATTCCATCCAGTATCCCGGTCTCAAAAGTTTTCTTGCCCGTTTTTGTCCCGTCGCCGTCGCCATGCAAAAGAAAATAACCCGAGTTGCCTCGTCGACCCATCACCGTAGAATACCGCCGAGGTGGGCGCCAAACCTTTATCCCAAATAAAGGAGCAAGTGAAATAATACTACAAGCAAAGCAGCTTCCGGCCAAGCACGATCAGGCTTGCGGACGCGGGGAGAAAGAGAAAGTCCTCTCCAAACCAGAACGAGACCGAAAGCTAAAAGACCCGCAAGTCCTACCATCAGAAAAACCTAGTAACAAACCACCCCATTTTAAGCCGAAGAGAGCCATACCTTCGGTAGCCTCTGTGATACGCCAATTCGCCAATGTGATGATGTTGCCGTTACGACAACCAATGAAGCTCGGGGCCCACGATTTCCGGACCGACGTGCACGAGGTTCGCTCAGCCCTTCTCAAGCAGCCTCGATGTCGTTATCCGTGTACTCCAGTTCCTCTTCACCCGAGAAAGCTGTTGTTGCTCGAGCGTTAGTTGAATCTTGACTGCTGAAGAAAGAGGATCGACGAGCTTGTGCTGAAGAGCGGACCCCTTGATCCTGAAGCAGGCTCAGAAGCTCATCTGGTCACGTTCATCGCTATGCGCATACTTACCCGAATCGTACTCATCGCTTTCGGGCCAGTCCCTGTAAATCTGCGCCACTGCACAACATCGCTGCTCAAGCTCATCGAACTCCACGGGGGGGAAGCGGTCGGGCCAGGTTATCCGGAGGGCCTTGAGGAAGCGATTGCATTCGAATATGACTGAGTAGAGGCAGTTAACAATGTTCCGGGGGACGTCGGCGTCTCTGGCCAGCATGTTCGCACGCTCATAACCAGTGAGGATCAGATTCCGTACTGCGCCAATGCGTGCGTCGTAAGCATCGTTCGTGTCCCATTCGTTCCTGCCGCACAGTCGGCCAGGAAGATGGTCAGTGATGATCCTCTTGGTGAGATCCAAAGCACTGTTCTGTACGGCCGTCGTCTCGAAGCACAGCAGGCGGGGTGCCCATATGTGTGCCAGCCCAACCATCTGAACGTAGAAGAAATCCGGAAGATTCGGGCTGATCGAGTCGTTGTGGATGTTGACGAACGTGGAGATGAAGTGGCAGAATGGGTCTCCCAACAAGTGCTTCTCCGGGGAGATGCAGCTCACAATGCCGCGAGCCATCGACTGCACTTCCTTCGGTCTGGGCGCTGCATTGCAGTAGTACAGTGCTGCCGTTACGAACGGTGCACCCAGCTGCGGCATCAACAATTCGACTCCTTCGTGGATTGTGATGTGAATGGCTTTGAGGTGACCTGCTTCCGGTTCGACTGCCATCATGGCTGAGAGGACATTTCCCGGAGCAAACTGCTGCGAATTCGTGTCCCACGTCTCAAGGAGTCGATTGAGGACTGTCAGGCAGTTGTTTTTCTTGTCCCACCTGTAAAACAGCGTATACTCTGGCCGCGCGAAGGGGAATTTTTGCTGTTCGGAATCAGAAAATGGTCGGATGCGCTCCGCACTGCTTGGAACGACATCAGTTTCCAGGTCGATATGCTGCAAGAGGTGTGACACCAAGCTTGTCATTTCAACAAAGGACGGCGTGCTGCCCTTTCTCATGATGGCCTTCTTGATCCGCGGGTGCCGTTCGTCTGCCTCCGGAATGGATTCGATGCTGTAGATCTCCAGACACAACATAAGGAACCCGTGGTGCAGCAGCAGTGCAACCTCATGTTTGCCGTACTCAGCCACAGCAAAAAGGAACTTGAAGTATATGTCCCAGACGTGCTGGACCAAGTCTAGCCCACGAGGGCAGTAGCCAAGATCCGGGGCCATTTTCATCATGCGTGAGAGTATGTTGGGCAACGCCCCGTCTTTGTTTTCCTCGAGAGCTTGCTCCAGGTCGGGCTCGGCGACATCAACACCATACCTTGAGGGGTCGCGGTCTCGAAGCTCCCTCAGCGCATCGATGATGAAGCAAGCGACGTTGTAGCCGACTGGGTTGGTGGAATCAGCCTGGTACGAGTAGATGAACCAATCAGGCAAGGCCTGCTCGTGCTTGCTGATCCAGTCAAGTGCCAGTTTGATGCACTCGGTGCAAGGAGATATCGTCCTCTTCAAGTCACTGAGAAACTTGACCAACTCTTCCAAGTCCTGGCCGCGGCCGATCACTTCATACATGTGCTCCAAGCCCATGTTGATGACGCACTTTTCCAGCCCATGGCCATCGGAACAGACTCCTTTGTTGATCGTCCGCATCTGCGCAAGCATTTTACGGATGAATCCCGTGTGGGCCTGGTCGAGCATGCAATACTCCCGGATGTGGCGTTCGTTCTCGGCCCTGACCCGCTCCTCGAGACCCTTGGGCATCGCTGCGATGGGATTCAGCGACTGGGGAGCACGAAGGACGCTGGTGCCATCCTTGTCGAGTGACGAGGCGCGCTGATAGAGGAGCATATAAGCGGATGTATGCCTGCCGTTTCCACCGAAGCACTCGTTTTCGACTTTGCCAAGGTCCTGCTCGGTGACCGTATCGTCGTTGAACTTGATCCACTTGACATGACCTTGGTTGTCCGGACGGATGCGGACATAAGACCAATAGTGTCCCTGCTCAACGCCTCCGGCGTGGACCAAGATGCCCACAAGCTCGAAGAAGTCATCCTCAATTGGCTGGTCCGGGTCACTGAGATACTCGACTTTGTACGGGCTCATGTTGATGCGTGATGGGAAGCGGAAGTAGTCGTTGATCTTACTCCGGGTCATGGTAAACGGATCGAAGTCGAACCGTTTTAGGTGGACGATGAGATTGTCGGGAACGCTTTGGAGGCAGGTGCGCTTGACCGCGTTGACGAGACGGCCGCCACAAGGCTCGCATTTATACTTGTTCTCGCCTTCTAGGCTTTCGCCCTCGACATAAGCCTTCAGACTGTCTTCGAGGGTCTCTTTGCCCTTGACTTCCAGAGGCAAGTTGAAGAGCGTCTCGGTGGTTTCCGAGACATGCTGGCAGTCTTTAGACTTGATCTGGTTGACAGAGCGGCCTCCGTAGAAATTTCGTAGGCGCTGCTTGTCCGCCGCGGTGAGAAGTTCGCTCTCGAGCTGGTCCATGAGCAACCGGAAGAATTCCTCGGTGTCCATTTGGATTGCGACATTTATCGGCTTCTTGTCGATGCCGCGGACGCAGTGAGCGAAAGGTTTCATATCGACCGATCTGGCGTAGCTGCTTTGCATGGTGGCGAAAAGTTCTTGCATGGCATTGAGCAAGCCATCTTGGGTACCACACTCAGCCTCGAAAACGAACTTCCTGAACTCAATGTCCATGAAGAGCTGGGTCATCATGGAGTTCATGTAGCACAATGCTTGTGGGTTTTCCAATCCAACGTAGCCCGAGTCAGAACGGAGATCTCTCGAACCCGACAACACATAGCTGACGTCTTCGGCGTGGTTGTTGCCATGCAATAGTTCACGGATGAACCCCACCATCTGTTTGTACACGGCCGTGTCCTCGCAGAGTGCCGTTATCAGCTCATACAGCCCATCTCTTGTTTTCGTCTCGAGCACAGGGAGGGCTTCGCTTGCACCAAGCTGTCGATCGCCTGCCCCGTCAGACGCACGCGGGAAGAGAAATTTGGTGAAGATGTTTGCAGCGAGGCCGTCAATGTTCAATGGCTTCTTGAACGATTTGAGCGATGAGACGGCCGTACCGAGGAGTTGAGCAAAACCCGAGACGACAAAGTCGACTTTAGGACGGCCAACGCAAGCCTCATACTCGTGCGCAAGGAGGAGCTCGCTCCACGCAGAAATGTAGGATCTGAGGCCGTCTTCATCCCGCCGGTGTTCATCATACCAGCGAAACATCTTGACAGACACGTCGAAGAGCTGTTGGCACGATTTCGAGTACTCCGAGACGCGTGGGAGAAGATCGGTCAAGATGTTCCAATAGAAAGACACGAACTCGTCTTTGCTAACGGGAGAGTCCCTGTTGAGCACATCAGCGTCTATCGGTCAAGCGGTATTCAAGGGGCGCGGAGGCCAATGCGACAGTACATACCCAGAGAGTTGTTGGTACTCGTTCTCAATGTTGGTTGCCACAGACTTGCGGAGCTTTTCGCAATCATTCGAAACCAAAAGTGTGTAGTGGAGGTCGTCAAGCCCTGCTTGAGTCTTGAATCTGTTCCAAACGCCAGAGCTATGGTTGAACGCTTCTAGCAAGGCCACGTAGCATTGATATGCGAGTTGGACGTTCGATGCGCTTAGAGAAGCTCGCAAGAAGGAGATTAGACGGTCAGTGAGACGTGTTTCATTGTCAAAGTACGATGCCGACACCTCGGCGTCAACCCTCTCTGCAATACCGTCAGTTGTTTGCCTCATGCAGAGTGTAGTAGTATACCTACCCATCAACAATTCTGTAAACGTCTCCAGGACGGCCTGGGCAAGGAACTCATTGTGCGGTCCGGACAGAGTATCGTCGATGAGCCCCTCGTTCTGGATCACAGCATTGAGGAGCTGAACGGAATGACTGATTAACTGCACATTCAACGGAAGGCCCTGCTCTACATTAATCGCTGCTTCCTGGGTTGCTGAAGACATTCGAGGGTATACCGATCTCAATTGGTTCCCGAAATCTTTGCGAAGGGTGGAGACAGAGATTCGAGCTTTGAATAACTTTCCCGGGGAGAAAGAGGACTTGATAATGTCTGGTATGGACTCTGTCTGTCGGCCTCCGTACGTGACGGCCAGAGCTTTTCCGTGTGGGGGTAGCTGGTTCAGGAAATCGTATGCCTAAAAAGGTGTAAGTCGTGTCATGGTTGATCGAGGGGGCCAGTTGCTTACAGCCTCACTCATGGAGTCATCACCGCCGTCGAGGAAGTCGAAGATGGTGTCGTAGTTGTTGAGGATTTCTTTTTCAATCAAACTCGAGCTCCCTCGACCATGAGCGGCAGCGGCGAGTTCACCGACGTTCTTGACTAGAATGGCGCCCTTTTGGTGAAGGGATAAATCGCGTATCGTCCTATCACCCAGTGCCTGTAGATCAAGTGGGGCGCCGCCATGAATCATTCGAAATTCGCAGAACCCGGTCCAGTCGCGTAGGCGCTCCGCAAGCCATGACAAGGATTGGAGATCTCCCACTTCAACAGTCTGCATACGCCCAATGTCGGGGCCGATCGCTTGGAATTTGATTGGCTGCATGTCGCCAACCGTGTCTCCCACCCTTGCAGGGACATCGGGCCTCCTGAGGCGCGGCGACGTAACCTGAAGGTCAGGCCGTTGCTTGACCAAGCCAAGCAATACTGTAAGGAATAGCAGGGTCCTCCGGAATTGAAGCTCAGTCATCTTCGAATTTTCTCTTTCGCCCTTGTCTTCCATCTTTACCTCGTCAGACGTACTCATCTTTTCGGAGTTTTTCAAAGCAGAATATGCGGTCACCATCTGGTTTATGCAACGGTCGATGAGGGCAGTATGGGTATCTTGAACAATATTAGGAAATTCTTCGGTGTGCTGGTTGAAAGCCTGCGGATCCAAGTAGAAGCTTGCCAGGTATTCCGCTGTGATCCTCTCAATTGTGCCGTGAGGTGCTGTGAGAATGACGTGCCAGAGTAAGTCCACAAAGGGTGGCTGGAATATCCCATCGGATGTTATTTCCCCTTCTGTGGACGTGCGCCGCTGATAGTCCGCCAGCTCGCGCAGAAAGTCGAACGATCCAGTGGTATAGAAGTCCGGCTTCAGAGTCGGAAGGAGCTCAGCCGCGCAGATGTCAAGGAACTCATTTTTCGATACCTGCAATCTCGCCAAAGAAGAGAGATGGTGCCAAGCGACGTCCTGAAGGTCCGCACCTATTGCACTGGGGCCAACCAGATGATCCCAGACTTTTTTCTCCGTTCCCGCAGCCAAGGATGTGGGCGAAATGTTCATCAGATAGAATAGAAGCTGAAGCCGCGACGTGAGTGGTATCTCAAGGCCTTTCCGCACCGTGTTCTTCTCTGCTGCTACGAACGAGCAAAGCTCTTCTGAGACATCTTCAACCACGCTGGTTCTCAAAAGGACGTCTGAATCAGTAGGCATTGCCGAAAGCATGGTGAATATGATTTCAGCATTAGCAGCGGCCTGAGGTGTCTTTCCTGCAATGCCTGAGGCACAGGTCCGATATATCTCGGCTTTGTCATCTGCAGTGGCGAATTCTCCGCGAGAGAAGAGTGCAAGCTGGTGGATCGCGGTACGGTGCATCAGCTGCAGGAATGGAGCCGAAGACTCTATGGGAAAGGGGTAGGTCTCTTGCGCCAGGTAGACACACAGCGAGAAAACAGCCATTCTCCTTGGCTCTTCGGTCCATTCAATCAGGTCGGCCCGAGCTTTCTTCTGGATGCCATCGCAGATACGTTTGAACAGTTCCACAAAACATACCGAGAAACTAGATGGCGGAAGAGTGTTGAACTTTGTGCAGAGGTAGAGAAGGTCCCGGTTAGACATCAGAAGCACTGTATGCATGGTCATCTCGATGAGAGCTTCCGCCATGCGTGGGTCTTGGCTCTGGGTAATGGCATCCCAAATAGCATCGGTCTGTGCTTCTCCATAACGCCCAGTCACAGCCAGGAAGCCCACGATGTTACCGCTCCGGGAGACAAGCTGAGGATGCGAGTCGACGCCTATGATGTAGTCGATAATCTTGTCCTCCAGCAAGATTTGCGCGAAGTGATGGAGAATGTCCTTGTCGGGAGACTTCTGGCTCCAGGTAGTCCAGACCGAAATGAACTGCTGGTTCAAGTTCTCGATAGCGTAAATGCGGTGTGCCATATGTCCCTTCAGTACGTACTGCTCCAGTGTCTTGAGTGACCATGACATTTGGAGCACCTCCGGTATCAGCAAGGATTGGTGAGCGTCTCTGGAATCCTTGTAGATATATGCAGCCAGTTGGCGGGCGATGTCAGCATCCAGGTGGGCGGCGCTTTGCAGGGTTGTTACAGCCGTGCTGACGAGCTCGATACAAAGGTCGATGGGTGCCTTTAAAGACGTCTGGATAGCCTGATCAACCTCCTTGAAAAGTGAGAAGAGCATTTGTGCCATCCAACGGCGATCGTTTCGACTGACTCCAGACCTCCAATTTACCGCAAAAGCGGCCAACCAAGTGAGCAGAGTCAATACTTCTTCCGCAGCCAAGCGTAGATTCTGCTCGGCAATACCCATTCTTACCAGACTGACCAGACACGATGTTCCATTCAGCTCGGTGACGAAGTTAGACATGATGGTGGAGCATATCTTCTTCATTGCGACAGGATCCTGGCCAACCAGGTCATGCATTAGTACCCAAAATGGTAGGTCCTCGCGGAATCGTAGAATCTCTCTCATGATCTTCATGTGGTTCAAGGAAACCATTCGCGAGTTGTTGATTGAGTAAGTGCCGGTCTCCAGGGCGTTGATCTCGACCTTGAGCATCTGAGCAACACACTCGGCATAGGCGCCCCACAGGTCCCGCAGGGCGTCAACTTCGCCGTGACCAGGGTCAAGGTGGAAAGCTTCTCCATACGGAATCTGACGTTGAACGATGCGGTGGAACATCTTGGCAATCTCGTCCCAGAATACGGGCTCCTGCAGATACGTAGTGTATGCGTCAAGCTTGCCTTCGTGAACGAGCTCCGCAAGCGAATGGAGCCAACCCTTGAGCTGGGTCAGCTCGCCATCAGTGCCGTGTCCTGTTGAGCGTCAGTATCCGAGCCAAGTAGCGTGTCTGAAAGAGAGCTTACGTGGCTTCGCGATCAGGTTCAACATTCCTCCCAGCGCGGTTTCCCGACCGTAGTTCTTTGCGAACGGGAAGTCATCGAAAATGTTGCCGATGAAGACTACCTCATCCTCATCCTCCTCGTTCACTTCTACCAGATTGTCTGAGGAGTTATCCATATCGTCGGCGTCGTCCACGGCGACCTCGACCACGGGGCTGGACGCGGCGGTGGGTGACAGCGCGGAGTCGGTGCGCTCGGAGTCTGGGGATGGGGTGTGGATTTTGCTTTTGTGCGAGGAGGCGCAGGGCGAGGAGCGGAGGGTTGTGCTGGAATCGGAGTCTGAGTCTGCGGCCATTTGGTCGGAAGCCTCGTCCGGGTGTGCGGCGGGGTCGGCGGAGAGGTCGGCGGCGGCGCGAGTGTGCGAGGGATTTTGAGGCAGGCGCAGGTTGAGAGTGATGCGGCTGGGCGTGTTCGGGGTACGGGAAACGGTGTCCTCGGTTTGCTCGTGCTGTTCCATGGGAGTTGCGGGCGCGTTAGCACCAGGGTCCGCCAGGCTATCGGCGGCGGCTTGGTCCAGGTCTTGGGACATTTTGCGGACAGCACGACTGCCGCTATCCAGGCGGGGGCGTTTGAATCGCGAGGGAGAGCAGTCAGCGTCTTCCATAGAGTCACGGCGCTCTTCGGGCGACTCCAGGCTCGCTGGCGGGGTGCAGTTCCTCAGGCTGGACAAATCCATAGCATGTTGCGCCTCCATGAGTCAGCAGCCGGCGGAAGCGCGTCTACCGGAGCTGGCAGGAGCTGCAGAAGGGTTCGAGAAGCCCGGCAGGCAGGTGGAAGTGAGGGCGGAGGCAGGTCGGCAGCATGCGTGAAGCTCTCGGCTGCCTGCGATTGCTTTTTGGCGAGCAGCGCAGCGCAGGAGCCGTGGGCAAGGCTGCAGGCTCCGGACAGCTCGGGCTGGCCGGCACGCAGTGGAGGCGGCGGGAGCGTACAGCAGCCAAATTGGACGGGTGCGACAGACGGCGACGGCGGTCGAGGTGCGCAGAGGACGCGTCGCGGGGTGATTTCGCGGCGGAAGAGCTGGGGCGTGAGCTTATGCTGTCGCCTCTTAGTCGCGCTCCAGCCCGGCCGCGCGCTGGCTGATTCGTCGGCCCGCCTCACTAACCCCGCGGGAGTCCTAGCACCAGCACCCGCTCCGCTCCGCAGCCACTCGCACCTCACGATCCTCTCAACAAGTGCCCGAGCCTCTGCTGCACCAGGTGTTGCTCTGCGCAACGCCAGAATCCATATGGCTGCACCCCCCGCCAAGAAGGCGCTCCGCCCCGGCAAGCCTGTCTTCAAGCTCGACCTCCCGTACACCCAGCCCCAGTGGTAGGTTGTTTCAGCGCACGGGAATGCTGCAACACCACCAGCCGCGCAGCCGTTGATCACCTTTGCCAGGCCCCAGATTTCGACCGCCGACCATGACATCATCCTCGAAATGCTGGTCAAGTACGTTTCTTTCCCTCTTCCCCACCGCTTTTTGCACTCAACGCCTACCTTCGTCGTCGCAAATTTTCTGGGCCGCTTCTTTTTGCGTGCTGCAAACTCTGTCGCGCCGCTTGCTTTTTCGCCAACCCTGGTTCCCTGGCGCTCAGTCACCAGTCTGCCCTGGCTGCTGCGCCTCATGCTATTGGCTCGCGCAGGGTCTGCCCTTCCTAGGCCTGCTCAGGAGGCTCGTAGGCGATCATGAAGTCACCGCAACAGCATTCCCCAGTCGCATATCTAACCGACTCTCAGTCTCCTCGTCCCAATTGGTCAACACCGTTCCGCCCACGGTACGCCTTCAAAGGGCAAGCGCAGCAGGAAACGCAAGCGCCATGGGGCTCTGAGCGAAGCTGCAACATCAGCACCGCCGCCTCCGCCTCCGCCTGACCTTATACGTCATATTACCGTCGGCATCAACAGTACCACGCGCCATCTGGAACAGCTGGCGCAGGCCGCGGGAGGTGCTCAATCGGATCAAATGGACCCGTCGAAGCAGTCACATGCAGTCGCGCCAGGTGAAACGAACGCGCCGCCACACCCGGCCAAATCTCTCCGTCACTTGTCCTTAATAATCACCCTGCAGCCCCCTTCATCTATCACGACTTCACATCTGCCGCTCCTCACGCAAACGGCCTCGCACGGCCTTGCTTCTTCCGAAACTGCGCTCCTCGTCCCACTCAAGCCGGTCTCAGAGTCCAAGCTCGCAACCGCTTTGGGCCTGCCCCGAGTTGGCGTTATCGGAATCATGGACGACGCCCCAGGCGTCGAACCGTTGATCAAGTACGCACGCGAAAGGGTCCCAACTACCGACGTTCCATGGCTACGCGAGGCGTTGGGGGGCCACTATCTTCCAGTCAACGTGCTCACTGAGCAACCTGGGACAAAATCAGGGTCCAGAAAATAGAATATGGGCCTGGGGAAATTTACATGTGCACACCACTCCAAGTTTGCGAAGCAAGCACGGCGCGCTCTAAAGAGGTCGCGGGGCTTGTGGTAGGACAAAAAGAAAACGGCTACAAGAAAGGAATGATGCTGTGACTGAGGTAGGCTATCTTTTCTCGTTCCAGGCGAATCTCTCACGTTGATATTTGTGATGTCATCGCTCGCCTCAACGACCCGGACCTCTACGAACGTGGGCGTCTGCTATCGTGGCGTGAGTGTTCCAAGGTGTGTCATGTCTTTGCCTCGCATTTCCAATGAAGCGACTGGGCGCTACGTGAAGCTGGCAAGACTCCTCGCGATGTTCATGAGAGGCCTGCAGGCAGCAGCAATCGGATGACGACATAGCTTCCGTCACTTTTCCACATGCTCGCCTCGCATACATCCCAACAAGGATACACAAGGAATCGCATCATGCCAAACTCACATCCACAAGTAAATAAATTCCATGTAATAGTCATTATCGATCAGGAATTCTACAAATCCCGGCCAATAGCGGCCGCATGCGCACGAAGCCCAGGGCTGGCGTCAAGCCTGGCAAAGCAATAGTCGTGGACCCATGCGAAACGCATATGCAGCCCATCGTGATGCAGCCCTCCCACACACACACACTCCAAGCAGCAAAAAAGGTCTAGAACGAGCCCATCTTCATGTCCCGCGCGCGCGTTAGCCTAGCGGCTATCGGCGGACCGGTCCTTTTCCCTTTCCCGACTAACCACCACCACTATCACGGATGTCCAACACCAAGGGACAGACGCCCCACAAATGAGACACCGGCGTCACACCATACGAGAGCGCTCCCCTCTCACGGACATGTGAAGAGAGAAGACGCGCGCCCACGTCTCCATCCATCCGCTCGTCCGGCCGGCGGGCCCAATCAACCGGAGAGATTGCGAGTTCCCCGGAGCGGTGGCGGCGCCTTTAAAGCGGCGGGCGCGACGACTAATGAGATGTGAGGAGAGGATGGGTGTGTGAAAACAGGCAGAAGGCGAAAAAATGGATGGAAAACAAGATTTTGAGGACACACGCACACACGCACACACGCACACACACCATCATGAGATTGATCTCTCGATCGTTGTTGCTCGAAGTGGGACGGAAGAAAAACGAGCTGGCAAAATGCATCGACGAGCATGGAAATTCGCGGCGCCGGACAGACCCGAGGCTGTGGTAGACATCCCATAAGGGTGTGGGGAATAAAAAAACGGTGGATTGGTAACCATTTTTTCCTACCCACGAGGATTGCGAAGGTTGCATAAAGTTTGATAAGCTCATGCGTGGTTCAGTAGCTGTCAACGCCGCTCGGGAACGGCAGCTGAAATATCCAACCGTTGTGACATGATCCACTTGGGATCAGATTGCATGCTACGCGGATGGTGTGGCAGCGAGGTTTAAGAGCGGTAGAATACCTAGCTATCATTTCTGCCAGCAGTTATACTCGTGTTGATGCGAACTAACATACAATAAATAGTAGTGGTGAAGGGTTTTTGTTACACGAAGAGAGCAAGAGAGACAAAGAAGTGAAACTGATTAACTTTGTTCAAACCCATCACCATGGATCCCTCCAATTTCTACATAAATAAGAAATGATAAAAAGCTATGTAAACCGATAAGCGCGAATCCTCGTGCGGAACTGATACCAGTTTGATGAAAGATGCCGATGCTCCGCATGATTTGATTTGATATGATATGCGCACGCTTGTGCTCTTACTCCGGGACTCCAACGATGTTTTTGATGTCATATGTACGCCCTTTCCTTCCGGTAGTAACCTGTGAGCGCTAAAACAAGGAAACGCGATCCCTAGTTTGGAAAGGAGAAAGGAGAGAATCGGATGTGAAAAAGGAAAAGATACAACAGAACGGAACCGATACGAAAAAGAAGCGGAAGGTTGATTGCCCTCTCAACCACCCGGAACAATTCGAATATTTGCCACAGGCCCGACGCTTGACAGGCAAAAGTGAAGAATTGGGCTCGTTCACGCGAGGCCGCTCAAGCCCGAGCCAAGTTTCTCAGCTCGACGGACCCTCTCTTCAAGAGCGCCGATTGATCCCTTCCTGCCTGACCACCATAGCTCAAACTCTTTGGCCATCCGTGCGTCAGGGTCGCGCTCGGACGGACGCACGACACCCACCCGCTTGCACTCGCCCCACTCGGCGTCCACCCGGCGCGCGGCGTGCCGCAGCCGCACCAGCGCCACGCACCGTAGCTCCACCATCTCAGCAGCATAATACGTAGCATGCGGGTGACGCGGCGGGTTGATGAACGGGCGCATCGGAGACACGACGCTGGTCGAATTCGGCGTTGAGGGTGTGCTGATGGGTGAGCATGGCATCTCGGTGTCCGGAGGAGAGACGGGCGAGGCTAGTGACGTCGGAGAAGTGGGCGGCAGTGTGTGGGACTGTTGGGCAGATTCATCGTCGACCGGGAAATTGAACGGAGAGAGAATGGTCGGAGGGCTCGCGGGAGTGACCGGTGAGGACTCTCCCGGCGTGCCGGGCATCGACGAGCATGCAGACCGGTCACTGAGGACTTCGCTGCCCGAGGGAGTAAGAGACGGTGTGAAGAGCGCAGGCGTCGCGAGCGAGTCGTGCCGGGAGCGCGGACCCTTGGTCGAAGTATTGAAGTTCATGTTGCTGAGCAAAACGTCCAGCTCGTTTTCAGCGAGCATATTGCTTCCAACAGGTTCATTGGTATGGACAGAGTCCTGCGACTCGTCCAGGTCCACCAGGTCGGACAGCAAATTGGTCCGAATTTCCTGCAGCCGCTCGAAACCTGTGAGCACAGCTGCTCCAGCATGCTGCATGCTCACTATGTGGGGACGCAACCGGTCAGGAAGGTTCTCCCAGAGATCCTGCGGCATGCTCCATGCAGGCAGGTGCGAAGGGCTGAAGCTGAAGGCGTCCACGTCTCTCGGACAATGAGTGCGCCGTGCAGACACGCCCGCTGAGACGGGTGTGAGCGTCTTTTTCAACGACGGACGACGGTAGTGATTGAGTGGCGGCGAGCCTCCGTTGGCAGCGAGATATGAAGGCACTGCCGGGGTCCAGGGGTGCGTCGGGGTGGTTGTCATTGTGGTGGTTCGGGCCTGGGACGTCAATGAGAGTGATGTGCGGATGCTCCCTAGCGCCCCCGACCAGCCTTTAAAGGGTTGAGCGGAAAGAAGTGGGTAACGAGGTAAAGCGACTAAGGCAGCGTTGGGCAGAGTCAAGGTATAAGACCGCGGGTCGGTTGAGTCGCAACCGGATGGGACCCATGTGTGGCGGGGGAACACGGGGATCGCGGGGTGGCCGCTTGATGAAATATGCCTCAAGACGGCAGGCACAACCGTGACCCCCCAATAGCAACCGCCCGTCAAAGCGGCAACAAAAGGTCACCATTACGGAGGTCATGTCCTTCAACCACTCTGTCGGTGGCCTGACGCAACGCTCATCCAGAATCCGAATGCGGTACCGGCGGCTTCAGCGGCATCTTCCACATGTCCAGAGGTTTCGAGAAGGACCGGCCATGCAGACATGCTCGGCCTCTCGGCCGCTTGGGGCAGTGCCTAGCAGAGCCAAACTTGGCTCAGCTGCCGGCGCGGCGGAGCCATAGTTGGGCTCCGAGAGCGTTGTGCTGGCTTGCGTAGCTGCATCCCACTGCACTAAGCCGGATATGGCGGGTAAGGCTGCGCTGATGCCCGGACAAGAGCGGAGCAGTGCATGGCTTGGCCGAGGGAAAAAAGAAGCGCGGATCGCGCAGTGCACCAGCGAGAAGACAATGGAAAAAAAAAAAGAGAGGCGAGTGTGGGGGCTGCAGCCGGAATGCTGTCGACGCGTGCGTGTGCTTTAGCGGCGTGCATCATCTGGCTCGCGCTACTGGGCCTGCGCAAAGTGCGGGAGGGAGCGCAGCTAGTCTGGAATAGCTGGGCGCTGCAGCCGGGGGGCAGGCTGCAGGCCCAGCCATGTCAGTATGTCGTAGGAATAAACTGTAAACTGCACGAGGGGCGTGCACGTCGCCGGCTCGACGAGCGTGGAAACCTTTGGATCATTCAGGTAATTGTGAGCGAACGGACGACGACAAAGCAGGCGGTGAAGATCGCGCAGCAGGCGCCAGACGGAGCGGTGGCGCCTGTTGGGCATGCTCGCGGCCCCCTTGCAGCAGTAAGCCACCGCTCTCCATTTACATAGTTATCTCATCCGTCGCCCAAAACACGGCAGGGCTTTCCAGAGGAAATTCACATGCCATTAGCCTTTGTCCATTCTACCTTTATCATTCGTCGGCTAGGGTCCCCCCGCAGCGTGGCCGTAGATGCTCATGGAAGAGCCGCAAGCTTCTCACGCGTTCGGCAGCCTGGAAGCATGGCATTCCGATGCGTTAGCACTTGCACGACCTCTACGTGTGCATCTGACTCGACCGTGCGATCGGCGCTCAATGCACTTACCTTTCGATCAGGTGGAGTCCAGAAGCCGTCTCCACGAGGCCGCTGACCTCGCCCGGCTGCAACGCAAACGCCGCGTCCTCAAACTCCCGCTGCATGTCACCCCTCTTGAAAAAACCCCTGCCAACATGTTAACTGCGACTCGACTGCGCACTGTCCAGCCGGTGCCAACTCACAAGTCACCGCCCTTGCGTGCGCTGCTGCAATCCGACTCAGTTACGGCTAGCTCCGCCAACGTCGTTTCTCCCGACCTGATGCGCTCCTCATATCCCTTCAGAATCTCCGCCGCCTCGTCCTTTGTGCGGGTTATCTTGGCCTCGCGCCAGCTCGATGGTCGCCGGCTTCCTTCATGCTTGACAAGGAGATGGGCAGCCCTGATGGCGTCGTTGCTGCCGCCAGACACTGCGTCACCAGCCTTGGTGCTGTGGTAGTTGGCCATGAACAGCTTCAGCTTCTCAGGGTCGGTGCCCTCGGGCGAGTCCCAGCGCGACTCGGTGGTCTTGGTATTGAAGTAGTAAGGAAGTCCCTTGGACTTGGAGGTGCGCACCTCCCATCCAGGCGGAAGACCGGTCTCAGCCTGGAGGCAAAGTCAACGAGCGGCACACGCGGCAGGGCCTGCGGGCCATTCAGCCTACCATTTTGAGTGAGCGAAGCAAATGTGATGCAAGGGAGCGGGTTGGTGGGTGCGAATGATAGCGCGGCGCTATGGGTGCGGGTGCGGTTGTTGGAGCGCGGCTGTCGTAGGCGCAGTGCAGATGTTTGTGATGGTCGGAAGCGCACACGCCCGAGCGCGCGGGGTTGTTCCATCGGCCGCATCGTCACCTCAGCAGCCGCTCGGACCCCGCTGCTGCGCTGATCTTCCCCTCCCCCCAGGCACCGTCCTACACCAGACCTCAGCCCAACGCTTCTTCCCGGATAGCGTCATGACGACGCCAACCCTGCGAGACGGCATGGGCTGCCATATGATGTTGCTCACAGCCCCGCCTGCCTGAGCCCCAAGCTGCGTTGGTCCTCAGTTCTAAGTTATGGTCCTGAGCAAGCCTGCTTGCCTTCTGTTCATGGCACATCATGGGTACAGGGTCACTAGGTGCATGTGAGTCTATTCCATGACCCTGTTTCTTCACCCGCACGCCTAGCGAGAAACCTTTGCCACAGCACGGAGGCTCCAAAGTGAGACCAGCCAGGCATGCTGCCAATCCGAAGGCTGCTTGCATATGCCAAGCACTTTCTTCCCAGCTGCGGCTTAAATATGGCCCATGAACCAAACCTTAATCTGTGTTCGGCCTTTGCCACATGAAAGGCTTACTCTCGTAGTCGTGATGATAGACGATGGAGAATGTTTCCGCCAGGCTCAAGTAGAGGGGGTGCAACCTTTAAAATAGTACCATGCATCCTCGTTGGCTTGATTTACAATCGAGCGTCGTTCAAGCTGCCTGGAAGCTACGGATGTGGGATCGAGCAATTCTGTTGTAAAACCCTTCTGAATTATCTTCGGTTGGCCTCGACACCTATTGACCGCAAAGTTATTTTCAAAGCATGATCACGAGCCTTTGGTGCATTGTCACCCGTGCTGGACGCCTTTAGGCACCGGCGCTGTATCTCAGCTCGGTCACCGTGGAAAGCATCCTCGAGCTTATGCGGACTTAACAACACTGCAAAGAAAGCGATACGCACCACGTTAGCGATCTCGCCTACTATTCCGAAATTTCCCTTGAGATTTGCACGAATTGCAACCATGAAGCCCGATGTCGCGAGGAAATCGCCATACTTAACCAAAGCGCTCACTCGGTCGTCGCCCCAAAACAAGACGCGTCATGTTTCACGGCTGCTTGCTCTTGTAGGGATGAGGCGCTTCAATCAAGTGACTTGGAAATCACACGCAGGGAGTCAATCTATTCGGTACATCCCTAAGAACTTTGCATTATTGGAAGGACGAACTAATAGTTACAAGATATCTCTGGAGTACAGACTTGAAAATGGACCAGCGAGGTAGTTTGATTCTTGCTCTGAGAAACACAACGAAGTTATTAAAACTGCTGGAATAATTAACATTGTTGGTATCATGGTATTGCCAATCCTGAACGTTGTTTTCCACGAGATATTGGGTGCTTCACAACAAAGCTATTGGCTCCAAAGAGCAAGCCTGACCCGTTGCCAAATGCGGAAGCTTGAATCCACACCGGCTGTGGGGAATTCTAGGCAAAGATTTGATTACAGCTCATGCTGATACTATGTTGCAAGTGACCCTCGGAAATCACTTTGATGTCTTTGCGCGTGATTCGGTCATGTTGCCATGAGTTAGGGGACACGAGGAGATCGTATTGCCGCGAACGCGTCATGCTCGGCACGAGAAGGGGCGCGGCTACGAGGCATCTTGTGCCGTGGGTGACGGTTCGCTTTGTCTGCAAGTTGGGCCGTTGTTTGAACCAGGGCTGCTAGGCGACGGGTGGCACTGGGGCCGCATTGCGAGGCTGTCAAAACCGACCGCCGATCGCCTCCCAGGGTTCTCCCGCGCAACAACACAGCAAGCTCCATTCCACTCGCCGCACCACACACCCCGAGCACCCCCGAATCTCACCTTACCTTCCCGCCACGACCGTTGCAACCGACTCTCGCGCTCTTAGTGATCTTTCCGGCCCTCTCTGTCTACTTGCTGTATCCATGGCCGACTACGCCAGCCCAACGCCGTCCGACGGCGGCAACGCCGAGCCCAAGAAGATCACCTTTAGGTTCTGTGCCGACTGGTAAGAACGCACTTGCCTCTCAAGACCTGCTTGGCGCCTGCAGCTGACTGTGTCGCAGCTCCAACTTGCTCTATCCCAGAGAAAACCCAGAAGACCGCAACTCGCTCCAGTTCGCCTGCCGCACCTGCAACTACTACACGGAAGCCGATACGTCGTGCATCTACCGCAACGAGATGAGCAACACCGCTGCCGAGACGGCTGGCGTGACGAGCGACCTGGGCCAGGATCCGACGGTTAGTAACACTGCTGTTCACACTGGCGCGCCCCCGCATCACCACCACTCGGGCAACATGAGCCCCTACATGGACGTGGAGGATATGGATATGAACGTGATGGACGACGTGCCGTCCTTCTGCACCATGTGCGGCCAAGAGATCTTCTGCGAAATCTGCGGCCAGGAAACAAAGGACGCCGGCCTGTTCATAGAGGCCGACGACGAAGACCCGCACCACGCCCTTCATGCGAACCGCCCGAAAGAGATCCAGCTCGGCCCGGCCGACGAATACGATTTTGACGAAGACGATGACGCGGACATGATGGACTACGACCACGTCAACGGACAGTCGCACATGACAGAGCGGAACGGCACGCACCAAGAGCAGGAGTCTTGAAAGGGCGCTTCACTGGCGTCAATCTTCGTGTTGATTTTGCTTTATTCATCATGCAAAAGTCGTTAGTCGCGCTGCACAGCCTTGGGAGCTTTGCCCGCTGACTTGTTGCTTTCCACGAACAGCTGCCCAGGTCCAACAAACCTTGTCCCAAGTGCGGCGAGACCGAGGCGGTGTTCTTCCAGTCGCAGCAGCGTACCGCTGAGACCGGCATGGTATGTTACCCATTCATATGGGCCACAAGCGATAGCTCTGGCTGACACACTTCAGAAACTCTACTATGTCTGTGTCAGCCCTACGTGCGGCCACGTCTGGCAGTGAGCGAGATGCTGCGCGCCCGACAGACTGTATCATATCCAGATTTCAACGGACCGAAATCACAAGATGGCATTTTTAGAGCGTCTAGCAAGCGCAACATAGGTTATGACCGACGGGGAAGGGGTCTGCACGGAGTTAAGATGGGAGTGAGATGTATTTTGGTGGCTGCTCTTTTGGTCATACACGGCGTTCATGATGATGAAAAGTCCTGGGTGGTCGAAGTACCCAGATACCCGGCATCCAACATAACTACAGAATATTATACACATATGCATGTGGTGCTTCGCATGCGCCATACGCCCTGAACCTTCCGATTTTTCTATTCTTTTTTGTCGCTGCAATGAAAGCGTCTACAGGTGCATGGGGGCAAGAGAGAGGATCTTCGACCACTGCGTCTTGCGGAGCTCTTGACCGACGACACCTGTACGGACGCCATGATCAGCTTTCTGGCTCCTTGCGGATTGCAGTCATATGGGTATCCCGAAACGCAGGACTTCCCAACAGTTGTAGGTGTTGAAGTACGCACCGTTCAGACGACTGCCGATGGGCTCGCCCGACTTGTTGATCAACACACAGGCATTGTCGTCAAACTTGACAACGCTCCCATCCGGCCTCTGGATCTTCTTCGCCGTCCGCACGACAACGGCGTGCCTAATGTCACCACGACGGACCTTGTTCGCAGCGCTGACGGAGACACTGCCGCCGCCAGATTCGGGGCCGAAGGAGCGCTGCTTTTGGACGACGACGACAATGCGGTCACCTGCGGGGTGACGACGCTGTCAGACAAGAGACGATATCGAGGCGATGTTGGCGCAAACAAAACAGGGCACGGGTGGGAGGCGTTCTGTAGCAGGGCGGTGGTGCGGTCGGTTGACGCAGGTGGCAGGCGGATGGGCGCATGCAGGCTCTCACATACCAATCGTGGCCGGTCTCTTGCTGCGCAGCACCTTGACGCACTCGACGACGGCGGCGCCGGAGTTGTCAATGCAGTTGACGAGCGTCTGAACGCAGGCGGCAGTCAGCGGGCGGGTCGGAGAGGATGCGCGGTGCGGCGCGGCGCGCGGGCTTCTGGCCGCAGGGCGCGGGCGGCAGCGCGACTGACCTTGAGCTGGATCATGGCGGCGGACCGGGGGCTTCGACGCGGAATGCAGGGGCGACGGCGGCAGCGGGGACGGCGGCGCGGGATAGCTTTGTCGGCGACGCGGTGGTGGTGAGCGAGAAATGTCGGCGGGATGTTCCGCAAGACCTCGGAGGTGGTGCGGTGCGGCTGCGGCGCGGGCAGCCTCAGGCCCTGGGGCCCTGGGGGCTGCTCCCAGCGCCGCCAATAATGGGCTGCGCCTGGGTTTGGCAGGCTCTTCCTTGGCCGGCAAACGGCCGGAGATTCCTGTCCATGCGCTTGTGCTGCTCCGCTGCTTGGCCTCCATCCGTTCCCCAGCCTCCTCCGCTTTCTCACGCACCAACTCTGCACCTCGCGCTCCCAGGCCGCGCCGAAACGTGAAACGACCCTTTGCTTCCCTCGCCGCGCCCCTCAATGAGTTTGCAAATCATTCGGCTTGCGCTGCTGCCAAGGTAGCGCGCTCTTTCTTCTCATTACTTTTTCCTTTTCCTTGATCCGTCTCAGCCGCTCTCTCTCTTCTATCAATCTGCAAGCGCAAGCACCTGTCTTTCCGTGTTCCCTTCAGCTTTTGCAGCCGCGCCGCAAATCCACGCACGATCCCTCCCTGCGAGTCTACGTCACCTCCCCTTTTCAACCCCAGTTCCAGAAACTCAATATCCGCGCTCGTGTGATCCTCGGCCACACCCGACCTGCGCCGGGCCCTTCTGCCGCTCCCACGGCTTTGCGCGCCCTCTTGGACCTTTCTTCTCCCACTCGCCATGGCCAAGGAGAAAGAAGCGCCGCTCAAAGAGGCGCTCGCGAAGAAGGGCGGCTTGACCCTGTCGCAACTCGCGCAGTACGACGACCTGTCGACGGACGTGCTGGTTGACAAGGTAAGCAGTTGCGCATAATACCCGCTGACCCGCTTCCGACTGACGCCGGCGCGCGCGCGCCCCAAAAGGTGTACTTCTGGACCACGATCCGCAAGAACCGCACGCGCTACTCACCCGTGCGGAGCATCCTCGACGAAGACATCGCGCGAATTCTGCGCGAGTCGGTGGTCATTGCAAAGGACCCGGTGCGAGCGCAAGAGCGGCTGCTCGAGCTGCCGGGTCTGAAGCGCTACCTGGCCAAACTGGCCACCAAGGACGAGAAGGAGCACTTCAAGCGGCATTTCCGCAAGTACGTCAACCTGTACATGCCGGACTGCCCCTGGGAAGTCTCGACCACGAACCGCTATACGATTACCCAGCACGAAGCCGCCGTTTGCGCGCGCCGCGACATCCGGAAGAACGAGGTCATCAAGTACCTGTGTGGCATCCAAGTCGCCATAACCAAAGAGGAGGAGGAGACGTTGGATCTGAACAAGCGTGATTTTAGCATCGTCATGTCGAGCCGGAAGAAGGCTCCTTCCCTTTTCCTGGGTCCCGCACGCTTCGCCAACCACGACTGCGATCCGAACGCGAGACTGACGACGAACGGCCCGAATGGCATGGCGATTGTCTCAAAGAAGGACATCGACGTCGGCGAGGAGATCACAGTGTCGTATGGCGAGGACTACTTCGGTGAGGACAATTGCGAGTGTTTATGTGCCACTTGCGAGAAGCTGGCCAGGAATGGCTGGGGCACGCCCAAGAAAGATGCGGATGGGGACGTGAATGACTCTGGGAGCCAGATTCCGCCGCAGGAGGGCCCGTACTCGTTCAGGAAGAAGCGACGCTACGCGACGGATTCAGCAACGGCTTCGCGCGACACTACCACCGAGCCTATGGCCCGGGAAGGCGGAAAGAAGAAGGTCGATACACCGCCAACATCGCATCCGTCAAGTCCTAGGGGAACAAAGAGAAAAGCAGAGACAGGGGAGCAATCAAGGCCAACATCTTCAGGTTCAGAAAGCCAGAAGCGCCTCAAGGCGATGGATGGTACACAGATTAAGATGGAGCGCACGGATTCACAGCAAAGCCAGGACATCCCTCAATCGTCTGAAGAGGAGCAAGGCCCGATGACCACCGCTATGGCAAGACTTAGATCTATTCGCAATCACCAGCGGGACAGGCTTTTGGCTACGACTCTTGCTGAATCCGAGTCTGTCAGCGCCAGCTCTCCCGGCTCGTTCAGCGACGCGTCGCACCAGTCTTCGCAATCGACTGCCGCCACATCCGTAGACGAGGACCTTTCTGCGAACCCGCCGTCGGATAGCATGGACGCACGGATCAAGACTGAAATAGAAGTCGAACAGATCCCAACTATCGAGGTCACGGTCGACGCCTCAGTGGTTGACACCTCAGTGGTTGACAGCTCAGAGACTCCCACCGTCATTCCCGCGAGCACCGGCACCCTAGCGAATGAACCTTTAGAGGAATCAGAACTCTCCGAGCTCTCTGATAGCGTTGCTTTTGATGACGACAATCAGCAGCTCGTCCGGCAAAAGCGGCTCAACACGCCGCCGCGTACCCGTTCTCAAAACAGCACGACTGCTTCTTCGGCCGCTCCCATCCCGACGATAGAGAATCCGCCCGATTCCACCGACGAGCCGCTTGATCCCGACCGCCGCTACCCAGGCGATTATACCTTGACCTCCCTTCTCCTCTGCGCAAAGTACAGCCGCTGGGTCAGCTGCCGCACTTGCGATTGCGACTTCGTCCAGGAAGACGCGTACCTCACGCGTGCTGCGTGCCCGCGTTGTGAGCGCCACAGTAAGCTGTACGGATATCTCTGGCCGAAGACGGACAAGGAAGGCAAGCACGACAAGGAGAGGCGTGTGATGGACCACCGCGAGATCAACCGGTTTGTGAGTCCGAGCGAGGAGAGGGAGATCAGAAAGGGAAAGAAGCAGTTGCAGATGGCGATCGCGAACAGGAGGGCGAGCGAGATGAGTGAAAGCATGAGAAGTGGGAGCATGGACGGAGAGGGGACACCGTCGAGCTTGAAGAGGGAGTTGAGGAGAAGGTGCAGCCGCCTGAGTACGGCGAATTGAGACGGGACGGCCGGCAGCCCCTCGCACGGAATCGAACTTCAACAGCTCTATGAGGTGCGGAGTCATCTTCATCAGCATTTGACGTGGAAGGTTTGGGTTTTTTTTCTTTCCTTTCTTTTTTAATGGAAGCGATCTCTTGGTCATGGCTCTCCAAGTACTTCCTTGCAGATCGATGAAGATTCGGGCGATATCAGCGCTTCTAGGCGCCTTTTCTCTTAGTCACTTTTTTTATGTCACTTCTGTTGCTGTCTTTTCTCTATATGACTTGCACTTCCCTGGAGTTGGAAAAATGAGGCGGGGATACGGGCGAGCATTTGAAAGCGAACAGAGAGCAAGATGAGAGCAGAATCGACACTGCGCAGTTTTCGCCTTGCGCCTCGAGAGCCTTGGCTTTCTTCTACATTTCCTCCCTTCTACCTGGATGAACACTGCATTCTTGTACTGTACATAATTGATTCTACTTTTCCTTCTGCTGAGACCCTGGCCGTGTTGGAGAGCAAGGGCAATCAGAGCAATACACGGAAGAAAGAGATGAGTCTTTCTTCTTCACACACCACCTGGCATCGCATCATGAATCTGAAAAGCACACGTGGCTTATTTGATTACAACGCCCTTTGCTGCACAATCATCGGGTATAAGCGATCAAATCGCTGGTACTGACTACCGTTGGTGTCACAGAATCACTATAACTTCAAAGAGCCCCCTAGTATAGAGCGCCTCGAACTGACCGCAAGTTGATTCAGAGTTGGCAATCCAAGAATTGGCTAGTCAAAAAAAACGGTTCCTTTAGAGAGGAGAGGGGCGGGATATCCCTCAGTGACAGTAACAGTGGCTCCCCACAAGATTGACGAGTCAGACGACCACGGAATGATGGCCAGTTTTGAGGTGCCTCCTCCGGGGCAGGGGGAACCCTGGTCCACGGTCAGCACTTCAGCGGAGGCTTGAAAAAGCACGATGGACATTCATGAGCAGCGGATCACCATGCCTATGAGTATCGTTTTCCGCCAACTGCCGGGGTGGGAAAGCCACCTAGCCCAGCATGCCAGCTTCTTCTCATGGCAGAAAACCAGAGCAGAGCAGACGACAACGGGACTGCGGTCCGCTCCGGCGGCATCTCGTGACCATTCTCAGTCCTGTCTGCCGACGTAAGCCATCGATCGTTGTCTTTTTGCTGCGTGTGCAAACGATCGTCAATATTGACGGATGGAGGCCCGATTCCCGCAGGCACCGCCGGTCAGAGGTCACACACACCATACGGCTTTTTTCGGGATGCGATCGAGGTATTTGGAAGCAAATCGCCGATAAGCAAACATTGTCTCGACCAATGCGGTAGCATGGCTGGTTTTGGTCCGCTCGATTGGTGACTACCGCCCGCCGTCGTCTTCCGTTTTACGGACTACGGTATCCTTTTCTTGCCCAATTGCTCTCCGACGTGCTTTGGCATGATGCTTGGAAAACATGCCACCACGGCTCCAGACTTGCTGCTCCTTGGCGGTGCGGGACGGTTAAACATGCTGGGCTATACGAGGGCGCGCAACGCACATACATTATTCAGGAACGGCACGCGACGACGACGTACGCGCGCGGGAGGTGCCGATCTGCACGGCACACCCTTGTGCTGAGACCGTTGACGCGGACATGGCCGCCGATCCCAATGCGCCGCCTCCTTCCTCCTCTGCTGCAGTACCTACCTAGCCGCGTCGTCAGCGAGCACGGACTCTCCTCCTCCGTTGACTGGAAAAGTCAAAACGCCAGAAAAAAAAAACAGCTGTGCATCGAAGGGAAGGAGAGACGTCTCTCCTTTTTCCGGCACTGAGCGGCTTGGGCTCGTAAGCGTTTCATTAACGGACGTCCGTCCTTTCGCTTCTATCAACAACAACAACAACAACAACAACAATTGATCCAGACAACGCACGTTTGATTCTGATGAGATGGACCGGACCCTTTCACGTCATCCTCGGAGCTTCCCCCGAGACAGGACAACGTCATGCGCAATATATACTGCAAATCCCCTTTTTTCCCCCTCCAACAATGCTCCCCGACTGATGACGTACGTCAAGGCCGTGAGAAACCTAACTCTTGTCTGTGCTCGCTTCCTCGCGTTCTCTCGACATCAATTCCACCATCCTTTGACCAGCAACAATCAACCAGTGGAGATCCAATCAACCAATATCCACGGCAAACGACCGAGAGGCGCGCGAGAGAGAGAGCAAAGAGAAGCGCCGAGATTGCAACCGGAAAACCCGCCGCTCCCGCCCTCTTCTTGCTTTTACACCTTCCTTCGTTCCCTTCCTTCCGTCAGGGGTAACAAAAAAAAGGCAAGTGTGGGGGCCGTCGGCAAGAAAGAAGGCTTGGCCCTATGGCCCTACGGGAACCTTTTTCTCTTCCTTTCCCCGACGAGTGGTCGTCAATCTCTCTCTCAGCCTTCTGAATCGTTAGTTTTGTTTTTTGTTTTTTTGTTGGTGGCGGTGATGACAAAAACGCCGATCCATTGACGCCCAAAAAAAGCCACATACGACGCAGTCAGTACACGCAAGAAGTGGGCGGAAACGTGAAAAAGGTAAACGGGGAAGAAAGAGAGAGGGACGGAGCCAGAGAGAGAGAGAGAGAGCTAAGAGAGGACTAACCGACCGACCGACCGGCCAACCAATCCCCAGGCGGTGGTACCTAGCACATGTTGGTTGCGACTGATGACTGACTCCACACTTGCGGCCGCATCCGGCGCACATCCCGCACCCAGTCTGGCAAAATGTAAACAATGAAAGGGCAAGAGCCTAGAACCGGCCGAGTCAGGGTACCCCCCCTCCCAACCAACCCAGCCGGTCCCGTATCGAGTGCCGGCAGGTCCCCTGACCAGAACGTCATCGGGTGATGAGGACGAAGAGGAAGAAGGAGGGAGCAGGAGTGGAGGCAAAAACAAGGTTGGAAAAGAAAGACGCAGGGACGAAATAAGTCCAGCAATAATCCACCCACCCACCCCCTCACCCACCCAAACCAACCACTCTCTTCCTTCTTTCTTCCCGCCTCCCTTCCCGCCCCCTCACCCCCCTCCCTCCCTCTTTCCCTCCCTCCCTCCCTCCCCCCACTTTCCGCTCATGCCCCCCAAAAATCCGGCCATTCCCGCCGCTTCTTCGCCCGCATACCTACCTGGCCATGTTTCCCACTCTCCCCCCCGCCTACCTGGACTCCTTTTGTCCAAGGAGGAGCAGACGCAATCGACACTCCTTCCTAGACTGACGAAGAATCTCTCCTGGTCACTACATCGCACCGCCCAAGGATGACGACGACGACGACAGGCCATTACGCCATCACTCACTCAGTGCGCAACGCTTCTTCTTCTCATCATCATCGAGAAAAAAGAGCAAGGATACCACCCCAAGAGATACTGAAGAACTGGCATTTTTGAATGGGAAACCATTGGTGTGTATGTATGTACCCTCCCTCTTTCTTTTTCCCTCAATAGCTAGATCCAGGAGGAGAAAAAAAAGGAAGGATCGGAAGAGACGTTGTCACGTACGTACGTAGCTCGTTTTCTTTTTCCTTTTTTTTTTTTAGGTCGGTGTCGTTGGTTTGTTTGCCTGTCTCATTACACAGCGTCACCCGTTTCATACCGTGTCCTTCGTTACCACCCAATTGCACCACCACCAAGGAGAAGGCCATGTCCAAGAAAGGAGAAGAGCCCAAAAAAAAAGAAACAAAAGTGGAAAATCCTATCCATCCATCCATCCATCCATCCATCCGTCGACCCCGTCCAGAGAAAAAGCGCCCCCCCAAGCTGATTGAAAAAAAAAAAAGGAACAAGGAGAACCAAAAGTCAGGCTTTACAACTCCCCCCTTTCCTCCATTATCCTCAAGGAGAAAAAAAAAACGCCCATGCCAAATGTCAGAACCATCCAGATCCTCCAACAATGATGACTACCATCTTTCTTCCCTTTCAACCCACCACCGGCCATCATCGTCTCTCTCTCACCGACCGAACCAATTACCCCGAAGTGGGGGAGGAAAAGCAAAATATGCAACATCTTGGTAACACACAGAAGAAGAAGTCATTTCCCATCCGCGGCAAACCAAGGAGATTTTTCGTTCATAACGAGCGTAACCGAGCAGCGGGCAGTTGAGAGAGCTGCATGCGCCAACTCGGGGAGGGAGGACCTGAGCTTCAAAGTTGACCAGCAAAAGCCAGAATTGAAGGAAGAGAGCACACAAGGCAAGAGGAGGAGGAGGAGGATCTCTGGACAGTGATGTACGTCTGGCGTTCTTTGCCAAATCCCGAAAAAGGGTTCGAAAAGGCGATGGACGGTCGAAGCGAACAAAAGAGCCGCGGAGAAGGCCAACTGTTGTGGGGCAGACGCCCTACAAAAGTCTGATTCATCCAGGGACTGGCCGGCAGCAGAATATATCCGAGAGAAGCGAGCAAGCAGCGCAGGAGAAGCTCGAGACGAAGAGATGGGTATCGGCACTAAAGGAAAATGCAAGCAACCGGACCAAGGAAATTGTCGTTGCGTCCTTCCATCTAGCCGCCAGGCGAATGACACGGATTGAGCGACACTTTTAGAAGATCATGGACTTGACCTCACCCCGCCGCGAAGACGCCCGGGGCCCGGTTGCAATGGCGTGGTGCCGCGGACTCTTGTCAACAGGCGGCGGCGGCAGCATCTCGCTGCGTCGGTGGTACCGCTTGGTGCTGACCGAGTCGCTGTTGGTGGTCTCCCGGTCGTACATGCCAGGCCGGGTGGGGTCGAACTTGGAGTCATCCGTGTCCTGCGAGGCGATGCTTGCTGCCTTCTCTTGGGCCCGAACTGCCGCCCTCTCATCCTTCTCCTTCCTGAACACCAGTTCAGTCCATGCCTTCGTCGAACTAGACATGGTGCTCTTCCCCACGACTTCGGAGAGCACGTCCATCCAACTGTCTTTCTGCGCTGCGCTGTCGGCATAGAAGTCAATGGTCTCGCCGTTTCCGAAACGGATGCGGAAGCCCTCCTCAACGAACGCATAGCCCTCGTCTTCCTCGGCAAAGCCCGACTTGCGACGGCTACCGTCCTTGTTGTGAACCAACGAAGTGCGATCGTCGATGAGCTTCGCTGCCTTGGCAAGGTTGATCGTGGCACGCGGCTGTCGAGTAGTCTCGTGATAAGCTGTGAGCTTCGAGCCAGAGAGGCGGAAGAAACGGCGGCGCCAGTACTACAAACACTAATCAGGATATAACCACTTCTTCGCCAGCAGTAGCACTGGTTGCAGGGGAGAACACTTACAGGGCAATCGCCACCTTGCTGGCTGAGATGACCCTCGAAAACACGACCCTTGGCCTCCTCGGCTTCCTTCATTTCGCGAATGCAAGCATTCATGCTCTTGGGCATATCGTCATCGGTAGCGCCCTTTGGCTTAGGCACGTAAAGCAGCTGCAAGGTCAACTTGCCAATCTTGTATGGCGGACGGCGAACCGGTCCACCCCTCTTGCTCTTGACACTGTTGGCAATCTCGGCGTCTTCCAGAGCCCACTCGTTGAAGCAAGGGACATCGACGGTGAATGGGCGACCGTAAGACTGGCGCTCATGGTTCTTGAGACAGACGTAGGCTCGTGCGAAGGAGCCATCTGGCGCAACAAGGTCATGGAGAAGGTCCCAGGAAGTCGGGTTGGCCTTCGCACGCCTGGCCGCCTCACGCTCCTGCTGTGCCTTCAGCGCAGCGGCGCGCTCGACACGCTCAGCTTCCTCCTGCTGCTTACGCTCTATCTCCTTACGCTTCTTTGGTGAGGTAAGCAGACGTCCAAAGGCAGAGTTGGACTTCTTGTGACCCGACGGCTTTACGGGTGCGGGAGCAGGTGGGGGTGCCGTAACCTTCGGCTTCGGGGGAGGGGTGAGCTTGGTCTGCAGGGTCAGTTGGAATTCGAGGTCGTTCAAGACAACCAACTCAAACTCCTGGCCAATCGGGGCGTTGCGAGCAAGGTCGAGCCAAGAAGTCGTAACGCAGTGAAGGCCGTTATCCAGGGTGAGCTGGAACCAAGTGCGCTCGTTCTTCGGCAGCGGCAGATCAAGGTCTTTGACGCCAACAACCTTGACAAAGAGTCTGCCTCTTTCCATGTTTTCGTCGCTCTCGTCAATCATCGACATGTCACCAAAGGCGTCGGAGACAGCGCTCTCCTGACCAGGAAGTGGCGGTGCAACACCAGGAGCAGTCCTGGGCCTCGACTCGCTTACGGTGACTGAGCAGTTCGAGGCATTGCGAATGCTGCGGCGTCTCATCTTACCGTTCCAAGGCTCGGTCGTCCAAGTGTTGCTGCGATCACGGTTCTTCTTCGACGACGATCCACTACCCGACCTGTTACCTGGCGCTGGCACCACGCCACGGTCGTTGGTGGGGGGAGGAGCCAATCCATCCCCAGAGGGTACGTGCGTGGTCTCGTTGCTGAATTGGCGGCTGCTGGCAACGACCACCTTTGTGTTTTGGCGCATGAGGTAGCCCTTCTGTGTGCGGAAACTTCCGTTAGCAGTCATGTTCTGTTGGCCGATACCCGATACTTCGCCGCTGCTCGGTGCTGATCCCAAAGTTGATGTCGCAGGGAACATGGCATGAGACGGGACTGGGAATAATGGTGGTTGTACCTTTTGAGCCTCGACAACACGGTCGAACTCGCGATCAAGGTCGAAGCTCAAGTCTTCGCCGATGTCGCCCACAGGCAGATCAATCTTCATCTTGAAGCTCTGACGACGCCTAGGCTGATCGCCCTCACTCTTCGTCTCGTCATCCGTGGTAGCCTCTTGATCCTCTGAGACGTTCGAAAGGTGCGACGGCTCCTCCTCGTCATCATCTTCACGAGTCATGGACAAGCGTGTGGGGCTGCGCTCATGCATGGGCGGCGGGACCTCACCACTGACTTTGCGGCGGGTAGCGGCCATGGTGGCGAAGTCGGAGGGCGTGGCAGAAGGCCGAGTCCTCAACGAACCACCAGGAGCCTTGATTGTTGCAATTGGATCCTCCACTTCTGAAGAGTCCTCACGCTCTGGAGGCTCGATGGGATTGCGAATGACTGAGTCTGGGGTGCTGGGCTCATCCTCACCCTCCGCGCCAGGCGCTTTCGGAAGCTCGAGCTGGTCATCAGGCGTAAGCGGCCGTTGAAGGAAGTCTTCGTCGGGCTCGAGCTTGGGAGCTGAATCAACTGCGGGCGTGCTTCGGTTCTTGTCGAGATATGACTGGAGCTGGAGGTGGAAATCATCCTCATTGCTGAACGAGCCAAACTCAGGCATATCGGCAACCTTCTGGTGTTCCTTCTGGAGCTCTTCCTCAGGTGCCTCATCGCCGGCTACGGGATCAGCTTTAGGGGTGGGCGGTCCCTCATCCTCATCCGCGCTGTTCTGAGCCTTCTCCTCCTCGCCATCGTCGTGAGGGGTTGAGTAACGGCTAGCATCGTCGTCATCGCCGAGGTCGGTGCCACTGATATCATGGCGGATGACGGATCCCGCATCACTGAAGTTGTCCTCCTCCTCGTCGTCATCATGGTCGTCAGGTGAGCCTTGGCCGCTGTGGAGCGCCGGGATTGCGTTAAAGTCCAACGTAACGTCACCATCCTCCTTCTTGACCTCGGCAGTCTCCTCGGCAGTCTCCTCGGCAGTCTCCTCGGGAACATGCTCGTCGAAGTTGGAAGAAACTTCGCGGGAAGGAATAGGAACGTCAGGGTCGTACGTCTCAAGCTCGCCGTAGCCATGTTCTGATATCACGGAAGGCTGCTCGGCAAGATCGTAGTCATCATAGTTGCGACTCTTGACCTTCTCCAGAATCGACTCGCGGGAGATGTGCGGAATGTCCATTTCGTCCAGGGCTGACTCCTCGTCTTCGGCAGGCTCTTCTGCCTTCAATGCGTCTTGGCTGTCCTTCCTGTCATGCTCCGCCTCCTTCGCCGCCGTCTCCTCCTTGTGGTTCCTGTTATCCATGGTAGGCGTCGTTTCACGAGATCCGTGGATGCCCATGAGCTGAAGGCGATCTTCCAGCGACATGGAGTTGCGGCCCATGCTGAGGATATCTGACTTGGAAATGCTTGTTCCAATGCGGGGAGGCGAGGGCAACGAGCGGTGGGCGCTGCTGGCACGCTCGGCGACAGCAGAGAGACCGTTGAGTGATTCTCTCCTTCCACGAGTGTCGGGCGAGTCCTGCATGGGGGGGAGCGGTGGAAGCGGGCGTTGTTCGGGATCAGAAGCGCTCGAGTGTTGACGCACGTGCTCGGTACTCTGAGAGTTGGGCCGAGCGGTTGGGGGAGGGCTTGATTCTGCGCCGTCGAAGGGGTCATCGAAAGAATCGGCCAGGTCGGTGTTCGCAGCCTCGGGACTCATGTGGCGCCAGTCTCCGGGCAACACAACGGGCGTCTTTTCTGTGTCCTCGAGGGATTCGTCGAAGCTGTCGTCCCGCTCGAACGAGTCACCCTCAAACTCGTAAATTTCCTCGTCCTCGTCATCGGAATACTCGCTGCCCTCGCGCGATGCCAGGGAAGGCTCCGGTGTCACCATCTCATACTCGTTGACGATGGGAGGCTTCGATTCAAAGGTAACGCTCTTCGCGTGACGACGCAACGGGCGCTGCGGGCCTTCGCCTAACCGCTCGTCGTCGGAGGAGACTGCGCTCGAGTCGTCGTAGCTGGTGCTGTACCTTCCATTGCGCGAGAGGGAAGACCTGAGAGGCGAGGCATGCGTCTTTGTCGGGGACGAGGAACCGGAGTTGGTCATGTAGCCGCCATCGTACTTGGATGGCGAGCCCCGAGGGGTTATGTCGGCACTGTCGGTGCTGCGGCTGTGTTGGTGCTTCTTGGGGATTTCGCGGCTGCGCAGAGGGTCGAATCCGCGCGGCACGAAGCCCTGGGCGCTTAGGGGCCGGTGGGTGGCGAGCGGGCGCTCGACGACGGGCAGCTTGGTGGGGTCGTACTCGTTCTTCTGCTCGCGAGCGAACATGGTGCTGTTGCGCACGCGAGAGGCCTTCATGAGGTTTTCGATGGAACTGCGCTTGGGCGACAGGGTCTGCTGTTCGCGCTCGGACGAGTTTTCGACGTCGGGCGAGTTGGGGTCGCGCGACTGCCAGAAGCGGTGTTTCGACGACGAGCCGAAGGGCGACGTCTCCGAGGGCGGGGTGTCCTGGGTCGGGACGGTAATCTACAGGCCGTCAGTAACGTGGGCAACGTGCAGCAGGAATGCGGCGCGTGGTACCTTGGTAGCCAGCTTGTGGCTGGGCGAGTTCCGGCGGTGCTCCATGGGGCTGATCTCGGAGAGCGGACCGGTGGAGGTCATGTTCGCGGGCGACGAGGTCGGGCTGGTTTTGTTTATGCGGAGAGGATGGAGCTGGCGGCGGTGAGTTTCGCGGCCCATGGCGCAGTGGACGGCGGTGTATGGACTTACGGCCTCCGGGGGCATGTCGCTCGGTTGGCTGGAGCTTGCGTGGGCCGACAAGGCTCAATTGGCCGAGCGACGGGGGCACGCAGGCAGGCAGGCCGGCAGGCAGGAATGCTGGAGCAGGCAAGCAAGCACTAACGAGCGGGCGGACTGGCGCGGCCAGCTCATGCAACGCGGGCGGCGAGAGAAGGGATGGCGGCGCTGGGGATGCGCGAGGACGGAGGAAGGAGGAGAAGCGTGTTTATGGAGCGGTGGAGGGAGATGACGATGATGTGCGGGCTCGTGTGGAGGGTAGGCTCCGTGCTTTGCTGGTTTGTGTTGACTGCGGCTCCACCCGGCGCCTGCGCTGCCCGCGATCACCATGGAAACGACGCGCGACAGGCCGTTGTCTCTACCTGCCCGTCGCAGCCCGTGTAACGGCCGAGCGCTGCGCCCGACGCCGCTGAGACTCGCCGCATGCGCAATTAGCAATTAGCAACTGGAGCCTGCGCCCGCTCTGGCCGCCGTTGCGGCTCTGCAATGCGCGCTGCAATGCTGCGCGACCGAGAGCTGCCACGCTGCGCCGGCGCCGGCCATGGACGGTTGGGCGCGTCGGACGCTCGAGCGCACCGCCACGCCGCCGCCGACTCACTCGCGCGTCGCGAAAATTCGGACGTCACCACGCCGCGCTTCCAAGTTCCTGCCGCCAGCTCCCCTCCACGCGACCGATCCTTCGCGGGTCGCCTCATCTCGTACCCCTGCTCGGCTGCCATCGCCAGATGCTGCACTTCTAGTCGCCTTCTACTTGGGTCGCCCAGCCCGCTACATGTCATTCGCCATGCTTCGCGCCGCCTCCCAGCTCTGTCCCTTCTGCGAACTCCGCACCCTCTTCTCCGTTTCATCGCAATGCCACCAGACGCGCTTCGCCTCGCAGCTCCAACGGCGCGCAAAGCCTGCGCGCATGCAACTGTCGCCCAAGGTCGCCCACTCGAAAACGAAGCCCCCTCCACGCAGGAACGAGGGCCCCTTCGCTGGTCTTAACCGCACGACAGTCCCCCGCGCTCTCCAGGCACAAGCAGCACAAGCGGCACAGGCGCCGCCGCCCAAGTCCCGTCAAGACTCAAAATTCACCAGACCCTCCCGAGATGCAAAGAGCAGAGGCCCGCAGGACGACCCCAGATGGTACAAGGCCTTGAAGGAGCGGCGCGCCCTGAGCCCCGTGTCCTACGATCACAGATCGGACGTGAAGCAGAGGATCGCCGAGATTGACGACTTCCAGCAATTTCCTTTGCTACCCGTCATACAAAACTCGATCCTCACCCAAGGCCTTCCGGGCCTGGAGGACATAGCACCAACGCCCGCCCAGCGCGTGGCCATGCCTGCACTGCTCAACATGGACTCCAAGAGGTCAAGGCGGGGCTCCGCCGAGGTTGCAGGAATGCAGCAGTTCTTGCTTGCAGCCGAGACAGGCTCGGGCAAGACACTCGCCTACCTCCTCCCCATCATGGATGCAATGAAGCGTGCAGAGATGGAGGAGAAGGAGAAGGAAGAGGAAGAGGAAGCAAAGTTGGAAGAATCAAAGAAGGAAAGAATGTTCGAGCTCGAGGCGCCGCCGCTCGAAGGCGAGGAAAACCCCAATGCTGGGAGGCCTCGTGCCATCATCCTCGTCCCTTCAGCAGAGTTGGTGGATCAGGTCGGCGCTGTGGTCAAATCGTTCTCGCACACTGTGAAGTTCAGGTCGTCGCTCATCTCGGCTGCCTTCTCCGGCACTGTGATCAGGAACCGTCTTTTCGCTCCTGCCGGCGTAGACATTGTCATTGCTACTCCTCATTTGCTGGCCAGCATTGCGGAGAGCGATCCGAACATCCTTAGCCGGGTGACTCATCTTGTCATCGACGAAGCAGACTCTCTTCTCGATCGTTCTTTCTCGCCTCTCACTTCTGCCATAATCGACAGAGCCACGCCGTCGTTGCGCCAGCTCATTTTCTGCTCCGCGACCATCCCCCGCAGCATGGACACGTATCTGCGAAACCGCTTCCCCGACATCAAAAGACTGGTCACCCCCAACATCCACGCCATTCCCCGGCGAGTCCAGCTTGGGGTTGTTGCGGTTGACCAGCAACCTTACAAAGGAAACAAGGATCTTGCCTGCGCGGATACGATCTGGAACATTGGCCGTTCCGCCGCAGAGCAATCGGACGATCAAAACGAAGTGGCCACCACGAAGCGTGTTATCGTCTTCGTCAACGAACGCGAGAAGGCTGTCGAGCTGTCCCGCTTCCTTGTCTCGAAAGGCATCGATTCTATCGCTCTGAACAGAGATACTTCAGACCAGAGACAGGCCCAGGCCCTAGCCGCTTTCCGGGGCCTGAAGTCCAAGGATGACAAAGACGCGAAAAGCTCCCCGGGCGAGCGCAGGCTTGCCAACACGAAGGTTGTGGTCGCTACGGATCTCGGCTCGCGTGGAATCGACACCATTGCCGTGAAGTACGTCATATTGTACGATGTTCCGCACTCGACCGTCGACTTCATCCACCGCCTCGGCCGGACCGGGCGCATGGGCAGGCGCGGGCGCGGCATCGTGTTGCTTGGCAAGGGCGACCGTGCTGATGTGGTCAAGGACGTTAGGGAGGGCATGTACAGAGGCCAGGCTCTCATCTAATAGTTCGTATGTATAACACAGCTGTACAATACAATGTAGAGAAAAGACGCGCACTTCCAGATGCCGTTGACGAAGTGACACTATGAAGCAAGCAGCCTTCGGCAGCTCGTCTTACCCACGGAAAGCGCCTACTGTTTGACAAAGACACTGCCGTTCCGCTGTATCCGTGGCTCCAGTGTTACTGAGGCAAGCAAGATCGACGGCCCACAATAGCCTTCAGCTCGTACAGTCGCAACTACTGTTAGCGGGAAAGCGGGTTACGCTCCACATTAGGCTACAGAGTATCTTTAGCGTTTCTTCATCACCGACATGGCGAATCACAATATGCGCAAATAGCTAAATTGCATTTGCATCCCCAAACATTCGAGACTCTCTCACACGCCATTCCGGCCAGCTGCCGCGCGTTCGTTGCCGCTAAGCTCGCCGTTCCCACTAGTTCAAAGGCAGTCAAGGACGGGGAAACCACACCATTAGTGACATCATATTCCCCGGCGGCCGCGGCAAAACATCACGGGCAACCTAGGTAAAGTCTGTGTGTTTTCCAGGCTAAAGCTGGCTGATCCGATCGTGAGGCTGGCGGCCCAACGACACCGCCGCCAACCGCCGCCAACCTAACCGTCAGCCGCCCCACACCGCATATCTACCCGAAGCATATGTAACAGTAGTAAGATCGATGGTTCCTCCAGCGCTTCCTTCTGCCATCGAGATTAAATATACAGACATACAATGGAGAAGGCGTCTATTTTCGGACAGGCCGCCCAGCCAGGTAGACAGTCGTTGCGAGCCCATCCATGAACAAACGCTTCGCCCGCGGAAAGCCGTGTGTGTCTGTGTGTCTATGTTGTTCCGGATGCAACCCGAGGGTATGGGAACCGTACCTGACCGGTGATAAACAACAAGATGCATGCATGCATGCCAGCCATCATCTCCCTACTCCTACTCCTCCTCCTCCTCCTCTGACCCGACACCCGACATGCCGCTTCCTACGCTTGTCATCCTCCCTTCCTTCCCCCCAACCACAACACACAGACATACACAATACACACTCGTATCCTACTCCCGGCTCGCAACCCTTTTGTCATCACCGCTCTCGTGACCCATCCATAGCGGCATATCGCGGCGCCCGCGCCCGCGCCCCCGCGCCCGCGCTGGCCAACTCCCCGTCCGACACACGCATCATGAGACGACATTGAAACCCCAAGCATGGGCTCGACTCTGGACGCCGGTTGCCGGCGGGGTCTAGATCTACCTAGCTACTAGGTACCTAGCCAGCCCGGCAACAGCATCTTCATTGCCTCATGCCAGCCGGGCCATCCCAGCCCAAAAGTGTCGTCTGTGCTTTTTCCTTCCTTCCCTTTCCTTTCTTTTCCTCCAAAAAAAAAAAACAAATGCGGCGGTGCCCGAAGCGTGTCGCGCACGCACGCACATGCACGCACGCACGCACTATGCCCGCTCAGACGGCGCGACGGCGTCGGTCGTTGTCGCGTCAACGGCCCCCCTCCCCGCCGGGGATAATAACACATGACAAGGCCAGAGCGACATGTTTCGCGCGCGGGGCGGTTCGGCGCGAGCGGCGCAGGGCTCGACGGCGGCGGTCGGGAATAAGGTTCGACGAGGAGGAGGAGGAGGAGGAGGAGGAGGATGGTATATATGGGGTACGACGGCGCGGATGGGGTGGCGTTGATGGAAGCTGTAGGTGTGGGTATGTAGCTGGCTTCGTTAATGCGGGGTTGACGTAGGTACGCTGGAGGTAGGTGATGCAGTGCTCGAGCGAGGCGGCTGGAGAGAGAGGAGAGAGGAGAGCGGAGAGCGGATGTGTTGGCGCCTGGAAAGAAAGATCTTTCTCAGGCGCGCGCGCACCTTGTGGCGCATGCCGATGAGAAGAAGCATCTGTGGTTCACGATCATGGGCAGAATCACTGTTTTATGAAGGAGAAGGCTCTCATTCCTGTCTGAGCTGTCTGCGGCCCTCCCGCCCGTCCATGATGAGAGATCTCCTTGACGGCTGTCAGCCTGTAGAAAAAGATGAGCCAGAATGAAGCAAAGCCGCCTTCAAAGCTCAGATGAAAGAAAGACTCGAGAAGCCTGTATGAAAGAAAGCCGCCATCGCTTGAGCACCGCTATCGTCTGAAGCCTGCCATCGCCCGAAGCCAGAATGAGAAAGCCATTGAAAGCCCGAGTGCCCGAGCGTATTCCTTCCTCTCCACCAAAGGAAGCTCCACGTTAGCAGGCCTTGAAAGTCAGTTAGATATCCGCCGCAGGAAAGTTGATGAAGGAAAGCCGAATGTCGGAAAACCTGTTCAGGAAGCCAGGAATATTAGGGCTGATTGAAGGAAAGTCGAATGTTGGAAAAGTTGTTCAGGAAGCTAGGAATATTAGGGCTGATTGAAGGAAACCGGTGCTGATGGGCTGAGCGAAAATGAAGATTGTCCGGAAAAGCAGGAATATTAGGGCTGATTGGGAAGACCGTTACCGGGATGCTGATGGAAAACAAAACTCAAAGGGGATTGTGATGAGGTGGTATCGCTAGGGTTGAAAGTTGAATTATCAAAAGACCAGTTGAGCAAGGTTCAACCTTGAAGGAGGACCCAAATGCTCAAGAAAAAAAACTCAAACTGCCATCAAGAGTTGGTAAGGCTTGAACCAGAACGAGTCCAAGCTCTCGTCAAGAATCGCCAATGGCGGAAGAGTTCAAGGTATGGTGGAGCTGGGCCTAGGCATTCTCCTCCAAGAGCTGGTCCAAAGCCACGTCGGCAGCATCAGTATCGCCCGTTTTCATCTTCCATGAAAACGCGACACCCATCTTGTCTTCATACCATTCCGCCAGCTCGATCAAAGCTCCATCAAGCTCTTCCACCGTGTCATCATGCGTGTCGGCAACCGTGCCAAAGTCGACCAGCACCCGTTCCAGTATCGGCAGTCGCTTGTATCCGGTCTCAACGATGGAGATGACAGGCTCCAGCTCCTCGTGGGTGCAGTTCGTCAGTGAGAGAGTCTCGAGTCCGGACGGCAGAAGGCTGGCGAGGGACTTGACCGCATCGCCACTGGGCGGGTATCCGAGCAGCAGATGCTCCGGGACCTGGAGGTTCTTCAGTTTGGCAAAGCCGGTCAGCGAATCGAAGCGAGCAGGCTTCTGGGCCGTGTCGTTGACGGTAGTGCCCAGGCTGAACGTCTCCAGCGTCCCTTCACGTTCGCGGATGGCAAGGCACACCGTGTCGAGCCAGCTGTCAAAGTTGTCCTCCAGGCCAAAGTATCCAACACCGAAGCTAGCCAGGCGAGGGCAGGCATGGATGATTGCGGCGACAACGGGCGCGCTGGCGACTGGGATGTTGAAAGCCGTGACATCCAGACGGACCCTCGTCACGTTGGGCGCGATGAAGCCGGTGCCCAGCGGTATGATCAGAGCTTGTAGGCTTCGCATGTTGATCTCCTCGAGGCTCGGCGTAGCCAACAAAGGAACAAGAGAAGATGGAGTGCTTGCAGCGCGTGTGTGGTCGATGTTGAGCTTCTTGAGCTTACCCAACATGCCCTTCGACTCCGACTTCTCTGCGACGGTCCTGAAAGCGAGCTGCAAGAAAGACTCTGCGGAGCCGGGGCGACTGTTAAACCTGAATGAGAGCTCCTCGACATTTGGAAGGAAGGTCAGAAGCAGCGCAAGGTAGACGTCGTGCTGACAGTCCGGGAACTGCGCGAGCCAGAACATCTTGAAAGCGGGGTCAACCTTCTTGCTCAAGTGTTCGAACGCGCTTCGCTTGAAGCTACCCTCTGGGTTCTCGGAAAGGAACTTTTCTTGTTCCTCGGTGGCATCGATGCTTGCGCAGTAGCGCTCGTAGTTGTTGTGGAGGCCCATTTCCGTAATCTGAACCGTCAAGACCTGCACTTCCTTAGCCAGATTCGGCTGCGCGAAGAAAATCTTCGTGAGTGGAATTATTGAGTAGTACCCAATCGAGATGTCCCTGAAGAGGAGTGGGCGGGCGATGTCGTGGAATCTCTTGGAGACGAGGCATTGAGACAAGATGTCCTGCCAGTCCTCCAGCCTCTCCAGAATCATCCGCATGATTTCGTTCGGGATCCTCTCTGTCACCGTCTGGGAAGCCATTGTGTCTGGAGTTGGAGGTAGGATTGTTCGCAAAAGAATGTCTGAGGGTGGGCGAAGATGAAAGGTTTGGGGGAAAGCAGGAAGCGTCGAGATTTATAGCTTGTGTGGGCGCGGGTGCGCACGCGACCAGCTGCATGTGCAGGACCCTGATCTACCGAATCTAGCTACCGCGCGGCCATTCGAAGAAGGAACGATCAGGGCCTTCTTTGGTGTGGGGGGTGATTGGGAGTCGCCAGGTAGTCGTGAAGGTAGTGGTCCTCCAATGGCTCTTCCTGCTTCGGAAGCCAAGGGCCCGAGAAGCTGGGCAAGCGAGCGCTTTCGCACATTCAGAGATCTTTCAATATTTCCTGGTCGTCGGGGATGTGGCGTGTTGGCAGTCGGGGAACGTAGTCGGAAATGGCAAAGTGTTCTCAGAGTCGCAAGAGTATCTAGAGATCTTTTGCTCCTACACGAACGCACTTTCACCGAAACCAACACAACACAACCCTTTCATACACAGTGTCTTCGATCTAGACATTTATTATGGAGCGGCCGTGGTACATAGTAGCACACTGTTCAACATGACCTCGCTGTCCTCCGCGACCCGCCCTTCCGCGCATTACATTATCTTCATCAACGAAAAAACCAAAAGTAAGAAAAGACATTAATTTCCCACATTACGATCTTGGTCTGTATTTTTCTTGCGTTTTCTTATTATATCTGCTTCTGCCTCTTGCCCTCGCTCTTCCCTTTTCCTTCCCAAAAAGGAATACGAGAGAGAAACGAGAAGGGAAAAGATGACAGAGCGATGAGCACATTCCAACCAACGAAGCCAGGAACATACCACTGTTTCAGGGCTTTGCCATGTCCACTCGCCAGCCACGGCCGGACGGCTCATCGTTCTCGTGTTCAATCTTGAATTGCTACCTTTTCCGTCTCTCTCCCTTGGTATCCCCTTCTCATTAAGCCCTAACATCGTCGATTCGGCCGGAGGGGTATGAAAGCTCCGCCCTGTTGTCATTTTGCTCCTCGCTCCTCGCTCCTCCCTCGCCAGCTGCGTGGCGTCGCTACTTGGAACCGTTGAAAGAAGTAATTGTCAAAGGGGAGAAGTGCCTCAGCGAATCGAATGCCATGGTAGTGTGGTATCAAAACCCAACCGGGGGGGGGAATCTTTGCCAGAAGGAATCGCAAAAAAAAGGGGGAATCATTCTCAGTCGTTTTGTCCGCCGCCGAATGTTGTCAATCTTAACGCACTCCGCCCCCACTCCCTATTCAAACTGGAGAACAGATAAAGAGAAGAACAAGATAAGAATGAAGCGAATGAGGTTGCTCGCGATCGGTTGAAGGGTAGTATTAAGGGTATGAGGGGTATGCGAGGGGGGTGATAGCTACGTAAATCAATCAGAAGAATAGCAATAGCGAATGTCATGACACGCAAATAACCCGCATCCACCAAGAAAAGTTTCAATAATACAATGGAGTACAGTGCGTGCGTCGGATTCAAAAACTCGGGGAAAAAAAGAGAAGTGTCAAATGACCTCAAGTATCGACAAAAGAAGCGCAAGATGGCATGCAAATGTGACCAGATCACAACAAACAGAAAGAAACGAAGCAAATTGAAAAGGAGATCTCTGAAGTGGTCAAATGACCAATGATGCCATCTATCCGTAGATTCGGAGCGCTTAGTTTGCACCAGCCTCCTCCTCAGCCCAGCCAGGAAGGCCGCCGTGGCCCTCGCCCTGGATGGCGAGACCGAAGCCGTTGCCGGCGCCGAAGCCACCCAGCCCGCTAGCCAAGCTGCCAAAGTTCTGGCTCTGACCCTGGCTCGTGGCGCTCGACGGCTGACCGAAGGGGCCCTGCGAGAACACAGGCAAGCTAACAGCACGGGCGTGCTGAGCGCTCCTGCCGAGGTTGGAAGGCGCAAGCAGGCCACCAATCGTCGTGGAGCCCGGCCCAGAGTTGGACGCAGGTCCGGATCCATTCGTCAAGCTGAAAGAGCTGCTCGGACCATGGTGCGACGTGTGCGCCGGGGCAGCGTTCGCGTTATCCGCGGCATAGAAGGCAGCCTGGGGGCTAGGGAACTGGCTCTGTTGCGAGCTCTGCTGCGATTGCTGCTGCTGCTGCTGCTGGGCGCTCGGGAAAGGGTCCAGGCTCGACTGCTGCTGTTGGTACTGCTGCTGCTGCTGCTGCTGCTGCTGGGGCTGCTGCTGCTGTGTTTGCTGGGCCTGCAGGTACAAGATGAGCGGGTTGTTCTGGCTCTGGTAGAGGATGTTGGCGGGGGTCGGAGCCTGCACGCCGGGGTTGCCGTTTCCAGTAGGGGAGATGGAGTTTTGGCTCCTGTTCGGCTGCGACATGCCATTGAGTGGCGACGGTGATTGCAACTCGCCGTTCTGCTGGCTCTGCTGGTTCTGCATGTTCTGCAGCTGACGAGGGGGGTTGCCGCAGCGGTCCTTGCCGAAGTTGACCTTGAAACGCTTGTACTCCTCCTTCTGACGCACGGCCTCGATGGCCTTGATGGCATTGGCGATGTTCGTGAAGTTCACAAAGGCGCAGCTCTTCTCGCGCAGCGTGTTGACCAATTCGATCTCGCCGTACTCGGAAAAGTCTTGGCGGAGACGCTCCTCCGTCCAGGATTCGTCGAGGTTTCCGATGTAGACGTTTCGAGAAGCGCCGCCGCTGACGGCCAGCGCAATCGCGGGTGGCAGGGCTCCCGAGTGCTTGCCCCAGCCAATCTTCAGGCGGCGGTTGTGGATCATCAGACCCTGAAGCTGGCTGAGAGCATAGAAAGAAGCGGCGGAAGTGGGGTCGATGAAAGTAACGAAGCAAATGTGCTTGTCGGGGATGTAACGGATGTGGTGCAGGAGACCGCCCCTGACAACGTTGCAGATTTCCTCGATGGTCGTCTCAGGATGGATGTTGCCAAGATAGACGGTCCTGTTCCCCAAGTTGTTGGCACCGCCAGCGGATGTCGCAACAGCGGCTGCAGCGACGGATTGCTGAGCCAGAGCATTCGAAATCAGGTCCCGATCGGCGCCGTTGAGGACGTGGGCGTAGCCCGGGGCAATGCCAAGGTACTGCGCCGCGTTCTGCTGCTGCGTCTTCGAGACGTAGGCACAACGGTCCTTGCCGTAGTAGACGCGACGCGGCGCCGCCCACTTGGGCTCCTGCGGAAGCTGGGCGACGGCCTTGATGGCGTTTCCGATGGACAGAAAATGGACGAAACCAATCGCCTTCTCCCTCACAATCTTGACGGTGTCGATGGGACCAAACTTGCCCAGATCCTCGCGGAGCTCCTCCTCGGTGACATCCTCGGACAGATTCCCCAGGTACACGTTCCTCGAGGCACCCGACTGCTGGACGGCCAGAGCGACCGAGGTGGGGACCTGCGAAGGCTTGCCCCAGCCGATCTTGATGTCCTGGCCCCTGATTGACAACTTTTTCAAGATTGCATCAGAGTGGAAGTGGGTGGCAGAGCTGCTGTCGAGGAAGGAGATGAAGGCGCAGTTCTTGTCGGGCAGGAGCCTGACCGACTCGATCTGGCCGCTCCTCACGTGTCCCAAAATCTCCTCCGCGGTCGTCTCCGGGGGGATGTTGCCCAGGTACACGGTCCTGCTCGTGCCCGAGACGAGGCCGGGGGCCATGTGCATCTGCGAACCCAGACCGCCCAGGGCCTGGTTGGCGAGGCTGGGGAAGGCTCCGGTCGGCGACTGCGGGCCGGCGAAGAAGGACGGCGTGTTGATGCCGGTGGGCGACATCATGCTCTGGTAGAGCTGGGGCGACATGGGGGCCTGGATGGGGCTGCCCATCTGGGGCTGCTGCTGGTGCTGCTGGGGGGCGCCGTTCTGGAAGCTGGAGAAGCTCTGGAACTGGGGCGAGCCGAAGGCGTTGGGCGAGCCGGGCTGGAAGGGCGAGCCCAGCAGCAGCTGCGAGGGCAGCAGCGGGGTGAAGTTCATGTCGAAGGCGGTGCCAGGAGTCTGCATGTCTGCGCCGGTCTGGTTGAGGCCGCCTAGTCTGCCGGTGGAGATGCTGGGCAGGTTCCTCTGAGGGTGTCGATCGCCGTAGCCGGTGATGGAGGGCTGATTCGAATGGAACGCTCCGTGCGAGAAGCCAGTCGAGTCGCCGTTCATCGAGGTTTTTGAGAAGGAGCTCATTCGGGCAGCGCCGGGGCCCGCGGGGGTGGAGTCTGCAGGTTGCATGGCGAGCAGGTGCGGTGGCAGGACAAAAGCGTCCCGCGCACTGGTAGATAGGACAGCCGTCGTGTTGTATTAGAGCGTCCGGTGCGTTGCGTACCGGACTAGGGAATTATTAGGGTAGGAAGAATTGGGGAAAGGCGGCGGCAGGACAGCACGCTGGTCGGAGCGGGGCTCGAGGCGAATTGCGCAGGCTGGGGGTCGCCCTGTCTTCGAGGTGAGCGGGCGTGGTGATATTGGATCTGCGCGCAGGAGCCGACGTACGCGTGGGAGGGCGAGGTGGAAGCGAAGGCGCAGAGGCAGCGCCGCGGGCACACCAGAGCGCGGAGGGAGGTGAAGGCCTTGGGCGGGCAGGGAAGGCGAGTCAGCGGTGTGGTCTCGCGGAGCCCCTTTTGCGGAGACGCAGCGCTGGAGGCGTGGTTATGTGAAGGGTGCGCACGCGCCGTCCTTGGGGTTTTGTCGGCGCCGGCGCAGGGTGTGCGTCGGCGGAAGGAATGTGGCCGGGCGGGCGCTGGCGAATGCGGCGGGCGTGGCACGGCCCCAGCAACGAAGGGAAGCGGCGAGCAAGGAGCGGCGGCGCGGTCGTGAGAGGGCGCGAGAGGGGCGCGAGAGGGCGCGAGAGGGCGCGAGGAGGCGATGCGGGCTGCGGGCTGCGGGCTGCGGGCGGCGACCTCGGCGTGCGGATGCGCGTAGCACAGTGGCAGGGCTGCCCAGGGGAGGCGGCGTGCGGCCAGCAGCGAAATGAGCCAGCGCCGCCCTACCCAAACATTCTTAGCGAGGCGCACGAGACAGCCGCACAGGCCGCGCGCTGAGATTGCGCTGCGGGCGCCG